GATAAAATACAAACGCCTTCAGAAGGTTGATGTCAAGACTATTGCGTAATCTCTTCGTGCTTTATATCTGGAATTCGGAAAAATGCTTTGTTCAGTCAACAGATTTATTCGTATGATAGACAAAAAAAGAATTCTAAGTCTTCTTTATCACGATATTGTGTAATAGACGATTGTCTGATGATAAAACTTTTCCTGATATGACAAACAAAAAGGACAGTTTTGAAAACATGTTAAGGTTTATGTTAAATCGCTAATTTATTCGAGCTGTTTCCTGGGTTGATGAATATAATCTAAGTGAAGGACTTGAGAAGCCTACCGTCTACTCTACAGTCCAGCAGAACATAATCTCTAAAAAAGGGGGAAAATCATTCCTGTTAAACGACATCATTCACAGAATCCATGTAAGCTAAGATACAGTGTATAAACACTATTGCAACTCTGATAGACAGTATTCTGGATCCAGTGATTTAGAACCTGGGGGTCATCGCGTAAGCTGAACACACTCTCGTCTCTCTAATCGAAAGATAGCAATTCCTAGAACTAATCAGTGAAAATTCAAGACTGAATGACAGAACCTTACACAAAACACTGATTTATTAGTTCATTAATAATAGTTAACTTCTCGATGAGGTGTATTAATATGCACTGCTAAACGCTGTACACCAAACTAATATAAAATCACTTAATTTCATAGAAAGTTCTTAGCATCCTGATGAGAGTAATCAAGCAGTCAACACATTGTTAATTATCCGGCCCAAACCAACTGTCTAAGACTACATAGATTGTTTCCAGGTTTCGGTGTGACCACTGCTAACAGCTCCCCACTATAATCCTATGTCGGAAAATCTACGAGGTGAAACTCTGTGAGTAATAAGAACTGGGTATTAACTTAATTTCTGGAAAAAAAAGTAGAACTATACCCAATTTTATCTAGTTTATTTAGTGCTGATAACATTACCGAGTACTCACTTTTTAAATAACTCTCTCTCTTCTCTTATAATTAGAAATGTTAGTTACAATCAGTTGCAAAAGTATGTCTCAAACTCCCACCCCCCCATAGAAGATCATATCAAAGATTCTTTCTTATTTCCTTCTTACAAAGTATTTATTCTAGAAGAAATGACCTTCACTGACCTTGAATAGTCATTGAAGAAAGTACAAATTTCATAGCACTTGATCCCTCCTCATATAAAGATATATATATATATATATATCATTTTGTAGGATCAAGTCCTTAATCTTACAGCAAGATACTGTCAAGGTCATGGCAGAAATAAGTCCTGGTTTTCTTTTGATACAATAATCCTGAATATATATATCAGTTGTTTGTTAAACAGTCTGTGTGTTTATTTCTTTCTGCTTGGGCTTTGCTTCTCGGCCGGTGGCTTAAATTTATTGATACACACTTAGTACAAATTCTTTTTGTCTTCTATAGTCAGTCAATGTAGTCAGAATATAAACGAAGATGTGTGTCTGCGGGTAGGGGAAGCACACACATAAGATGTTTATCTTTTTTGTTGTTGAAGGAGATAAAAAAAGAAGAAATTTAAAGAAGAATATATCTATATATTTTGAGAACTCTATAAGCTAATTTATTTTCATTTTTCTATAGATTTGTAGGAAGATAATGTACTGAATTTTAAGGTGAAATTTTTCTGAATGAATTATTCCTCCTTTTTTGTACCCTGCACATACACATACACATACACAGTGGCTCTCCAACCCACCCACCCTTACCCTCACCCCTAAAAATAAAAAGAAACAATCCCTTCTTATTTGAGTATGAACTGCTTATTCCCTTAATGACCTTGAAGCATATTTCATTTTTCAAACTGTAAAGTATACAAAGAGAAATTAGATATCACATTCACATACCTGATTTGTACTTATCGTATATATATATATATTAGAAAGTCAATCATTGGGTAATCTGGAAGCGACATTGATGACAAGGTTTTTTGTGTAAAGTATATAGATTTTGTACCACTGATTCAAAAATTAAGAAACACAGTTAAAAATAAAACCAGTCTTCTTGAGAAAGCGAAAGACAGAGATAGAAAGAGAGAGAAAAAAATTATCGAATGATGCAAGACACTTATACGAGTTATCTGGGGTAGGTGTTGGTAGTTTCATTGAAATCAGTAAAGGATGCATTAAAACATACTATTAACATATTATGGCTTGGTTATATTATAGTCTGAGGTTACACAGACTAAAAGGGTAGACATGCTCGTCAACCACCAAAGTGGCCCAGGGTTTGATCCCCAGCGGACGCATTTCTACACTTCTCTCAGGCGATAGTAAGACTCATAGAGAGGGAAGGTTGGATGTAAGACTAACAAATCCACGGCGTACAAATGAATAACACCACTTCAACTGAACTTCTATTAGCTTCCAGCAAAAATAGCCTCAGTTAAAAGAGACCCCAGAACACTATATCAGATAAAATGATATCTACCCGGTACAAGATAAACGCAGGTAAAAAGTATAAAAGATGTTTAGAGGAACCTGGTTACCAAGGAGGAGAAAAAGATAAAACAGTGTGTTGATCACTTCAAGGACTCTTGAATAGACCATCACCTGCACCTCATCCAGAAATACCACCATCACCATCACCAACAACAATAACAACAACACACACAGAACTGTCTGTCAGTGGACACAAATCCTTCAACGAAAGAAGAAATCTCGAATGTGATAAAGCTACTGAAGGCCAACCGGGAAGGCAACACGGCCACACAGAATTACCCTCTACTCCAAAGCACTGAAAACAAACCCACGGACTAAGACAGACATTCTCACGCCATCATTGCAGAAGGTTTGGAAGGAAGGAAAGATGTCTACAGACTGATTGGAAGGAGGACAGGCTACCTTGTCAAACCAACAAAAAGAAGGACGACATACGCCTCACTCTGCAAGAACTGGTGTAGAACAATGCTCGTGTGCACGCAAAGTAAACTACTAAGTCGCGCACATCTAGAGAAAAAATGAGATGCACTGGATACAGAACTCCACCCCACCGACCACAACAAGCTGGCTGAATTCAGAAAATCCGAATCGTGTGCTGATTGAATTGCAGCTCTACGCATCGTCCTCACTGAACTAAGCATAGAATGATTGTCAAAATTGTCTCCACTTCAACTTCATCGACTTCGAAAAGGCCTTCGACGGACAGCGTTGACCACGAAGTAATTTGAAAACTTCTTGGACACCACTGTGTGCAGTGCTCAAGTTTCTATCAACCTCAGTCAACAGCTGACTATATGACAATGTTGCGTGTCAGGTGATACACACAGGAGAACTCAGCCAAGCGCCACTTCGAAGTGAATACAAGGGTAAGACAGGGCTGGCTGCATATTACCACCCACAATGATATTCCTAATTGTGGTGGACTGGATTATGCATCAGACTGTGCACAGGGAGTGAGGAGACAGGAATATGCTGCACTGACCGATACGAAGACTCTAGAACATCTGGATTTCGCGTGTGCATGATACATGTCTAATGTCACACAAACTCGAAGACTTGCTGGTGAAAACTAACAAACTCTCATAAGAGGCTGGCTGGCAGCGAAGACAGTACTCCAGGTGAACTCATGGGAGATGGAGGTGATGAAGGTAACCAAACATCACCACCACCACCACCACCACCACTACCACCAACAACAGCGACAACAACAACCAGCGCCGATCACTATCAAAGTGAGAGATTTGACAAAGCTTAGTTCCTGCCTTCACTTACCCAGTCAGGAAGCACAGTCTCAACCACAGTCACACAGCACGAATGAAGATGTCAAAGCCAGTCAGTCAGGATCAGAAAGGTGAGATACATATGCCTTCATCAACCTGAAACCAGTTTGGATATCTTCTGCATTAACTCAGTCAGCATAAACAACAATGTTCGGATTCTGTTTAACACAAATGTGAAGTCAGTCAGTCAGTCAGTCAGTTAGGGCTTGTCTGTAGGTCAGAAACTTGCACTGTGTGTCATTTCCAAGTGCAATTCCGAACAAGTTACAAGCTTTTATCAACAGCTGCCACCTTAACTGTCTGGCTTCATAATGAGTTGGAGGAGATGAGAGATTATGGCAGCTGGAGAGGACAGCAGAGAATAGAACAAATTGGAGATGTGTTGTTGAAACTCTGTATGCCACTCGGAACGCAAAGGAATGAAATAAACAATGATAAATTATAGAGGTAACTACTAGTTCAATATAGTTTGTCTGATAATGATAATCAGTATATTGACTGATGGATCAAATACAACGTAATCCATTTGAACAAAAATACCTATAACATGGATAGCGTACCACAATGCCATACATATTTAAAATTTATCGTAAGTAAAAACGTTTCCCATTAAACATCATTTAAAAGAATTTCTAAGTCTATTTCATTTCGCCCAAATTAATGACTACAGCTTCAAAGTAATAATAATAATAATAACAATAATAATAAAAAGGAAGAAGAAAAAACAGAGAGTAGAAAACACATTGGTTTATTGAATTAACTTAAAAAAAGCTTTCTCAAGTACTTATGGGGAGACTGATTAACTGAAGTGTAAATCAGTACCCAACACCCACGCATTTAAATACAGATAATATCGACTCTATTTGCGCTTTCCATTTTGTTTAGTGGCTCTCTTTAAACGAATGATTATACAAATGCTTTCGACTATCGATTTTCAGGACAATGTGAATAATCTATGCATCAATCAAGTAATTCAGTTTCCAACATCACATATATATAAAGATGGAAGACACTTGGATTACAAGGGGGAAATCTGCTACAAGGTATGACGCTGAGTCATTATTAGTAAATTAGAATTTCGATACATTTACTATAGTGTATTTGAGTAGCCTGGCTGGATGTCTTATACAGTCAACTAAACTGTTTTTTTTTTATAGAAAAATGACATTATCGCATTATAATGCATGGATAAATAGAAAGACGATTGCTATTAATTATAGATATAAATAAAACGGAAATTGTGCTACTCACCTTGCAGGTTTAGTTTGACCCATTTTACGAACTTTTATTGTGCAATATGTGACACGGGGAAAATGTCCAGTTCGTTCCCATTCAATTCCAGAAGATAAATCTTGTAATAATCGTAGACCAAATACAGTACTATTAAAACCGGTAAAGCGTTTCATTAGATAAATCTGTCCAACTGAATTAGCTACAAATAATGCTCGTACAAATAAGAAGAGCATAGTTAGACGAGCATTCGGTGTGACACCGCATAGACATCGATTTACAATTGATTTTATTCGTCTAAATCTTGACTGTGATTCAGCTTGTTCTTCTAGTGTTGCAACTAAACATGAAACAGCCTTGAGTCGCAATTCACGATCAGGTATAGCAGCTTCTTTGGCTGATTTTAATAATAGAGGTAAACGTCTTGAACCAACACGCCAGAGTAAGTGTGGTACCCATGCCATCATAGCTTGACCAGCTAAGACTATAGCAACCCATTGATAATAGCCAATAAATTTAACTTTTTCATAATCCACTTGATCTGTTGGTATCTCTTCATTAGGTAACAAGAAGTATGTATTTGATACCCAGCATAAATTTTCAGCATATTCCTCCAGGATTTTGTAAACTCTTGTGGTACCCAACACTGAATTGGCTTGCCTTTGAAATACATAAATTTTGGATAAAAAAAGACAATTATAAGGTTGATATAGTGTAATAAGCATTTGCTAATCATATATATATATATATATACACTTTGTCGACAAACATTATTTAACGCAAGTTATTAACGAGTCAGCTGATTTACAGGCCAACTGGATAACCTCCTGTACGGATGTCAGTCAGACTTGAAAATCCAAGTCTGTCTAAAAGTAGAAGAATACAAAAGCACTCATAATCACCTTGTTTTGTAGTAAGAACCCAGCATACGGAAGGATAATATCACTAGAACTACGAAAAGAAATGCGCTAGTATATATGAAGGGTACAGCCTAAGGGAGTCCATTGAATCAATTAACCACAAATCTCCTAAAAATAATTATCACTTGTAGAAAGAAGTTTCAGTTTTTCAACTTCATTCTCTAGCCTATACCCCCTCTCACTCCCATTCTCTTAACCTCCTCTTACTTTCTCCTAATCTCCATTTATTTGTAATTTGCAAATTTGTTAATCTTTGTCTTGATAATTCTCGTTCATCTCATTTTGGTCCTACCTTATAATGTACTTGTGTATACTTGCGATAGAGAGTGACGATGCTTCCACGTTTTCTTCACTATTAACTTTATGATTATTGTGTCGAGACGATTTTCGGCATCATTCTTCATGTGATTTTTTTCATTTTCATCTTAAGAATTTTCTCCATTACCTTTTTCTTATGTATTTTTGCAAAAGAAAATTTTGTATAAAATTCCATTGAGGATAAATTGTCTTTGGTTTTATTTTAACCGCAATTATTTGTGCGCTTTTCATGATAATGAGGTAGGGAAAGCATTTTAATTAAATAGCGGTTTGTATATGTATATATACTTTCGTAAATTGGTGATGATTAGGGAAACAATAAAGTGAATAGAAAAAACATTCAAAATAGGCGGCACAAATGGTGGAAATGTGCGCAAAGGTTCAAATGAGTCAACTACTGAATGAAATGACATCCTTCAAGAGAAGATGGACATCGTCGATTCATTGTTATTCTCTTCTAATATCTCCTTATGAACCGTCTAAGGCATCACTGGTATGATATACGTTGGTAACATACATGTAATTGTACGAAGGAGACTAGATCCCGACAACACATATCTGATTATAATGTAACTGCATTATTATAACTGAGTATTCCCCCTGATGACGTAGTCATAGCGTTCATAACAACTAATTTTTAAAAATTACTTTCTTGGGTCTCAGTAGACCAAGTACACTGAACTAAACACATTTGCTGTCACTAAAAAGTCAATTAATTACTGTGACATGAAATAGAGTTACAGGATATCAGTTAACAGAGAAAAACAGATAGAGACTAAAGTGTCTTCATTTACAAAGTTTGCATCCAAAATTCAGTCAGAAGAAAATTATTTCTTGTGAAATTAACTAAACTAAACTAAACGGCATTGATGTGAGTAGTTTTAATGCCACTGAAAACCCATTGAACAATCTGAAAGTATCCATAGATTATAAAATATATCCTGTTCTAGTAAATACATTAATTAACTTGTATTTGTTTGTGACCCTATAGATTATTTTCAATTTTTCATAATCCCTAGGTAGTTCAACTGAATTCTAATCCTCCATAAGTGAAACATAAATACACTGTTGACTTTGCATTCATCCACTGCTTCATAAGACGTGAATGTGAAATCATTTGAACTGAGTGCTTCATATTCAAACATTCTCCAGAATTCAAGATCTTTTCTAAGTGCCTCATTCTACTATGATGCACAGCCTAATGAAGATGCGGATGTTTATATCAAACAACTGAGTTGCATTATTACTAGAATTTCCGCTGATGGCTGTTATAAGAGGTTAAAAAAACTGTCGTTTCATTGATATAAACTAACAGCCTAGTACAGGATTACATAAAAAGACTTATATATATATATATATATATATATTTCAGTGATGGGTAAATTTAATATCACTCATAGTTCACCAATAATTCCACCCTAAACAGTTTCAACAACGCCCAGTAGTTTACAGATCTACAGATCAAACAGAATATGACTGAGATCGTATCATCCTTTGTCGTTTCTAAACACTCCGACATCAAACTGAAAGACTGAAATTTCAAATTTCTCCAAGTACGCAACCATTACTTAGTCTACTTATTTATCAAGTGGTTATCGATGGATTCCAGACTTGTAAGATAGGTTAACTGATAGAGTAATACTGATATGACCAGGTGATAAGAATTAATAAGGGATTTGAATATTAACAGTTTCTCGAAGTCATTAATACCACTGATTGTGAAATGAATCATCGTTATATTTCGTATATATTTAAATGTTAAGCATTGCGTATCTGTATTCAAACGCGTCATTAACATTAGTCAGTAGAATGACTTAGTCTGGTTTCTGAATTCAACTGTTTAACTGAAATTACTACTGTAAGACTAGCTAGAAAGAGATTTCAAGTGCTCTGAACCAATCTGCTTGACCTATTAAATCCAACTTTAAACATGACCTGCATTGTTTAGTCATGCAGACTTTACAATGAAGCACTGATATGTTAGTGGTGATTTATATGCCACGTGACACTAGAATGTTTGAAAATGAAATCTCAGAAGACAATTCAAGGTGAACAGAGGTATAAGAAACCACTAATAACTTACATCGCCTGGATAAAATTGACTGAATCGCTTCCAATGAAAGATTGTGGGCAGTAAATTGCGCTAGAGACGTCAACTAGGTACTGACACCATAGTAATGTGTGCTCTACGAAATATCCTTATTTAGTGGGAAACTGAATAGACAACTCTCCAGCTAATTTGTACTTGTATGGCTTTATTAGGTAGCTAAATTTAGGTGGGGTTAATTGTAAAGCACCAAAGCTTTGAGGCGTCTAAGCTAAGAAATGAAAATAGAAGGTTGACTGACTAGGGATATTGATATAGTGTTACTAATCACTCATAAGCTCTCATATGTAGGTATTATGCAGTACCAAACTAACACTCAATGATTTGTCTATACTCTGTGAAGGACTAAGATTGGCACTTAGTCTCATAGACTATTCAAACAGACTAACATTGATGGTAGGCATTTATCACTTTATTAGTCTGTCGAGATAAATCTTCCATCATGTTTCACTTAAATTTGGACACAACAATTACAACTTAATTATTTGGGTGTGCCATTTACCTCTTAGATACATTTTGTCTCAGAATAGACCAATGATAGATCGAGTGTAACTCACACCTTTTTCTTCTTCCCCACCCCCTATTGGATTTCGTGTACCATCTAGAGCGTACAGCACACCGACTCATATAATTAATTTTAAAATAATTTTCACTAAAAATATTTTTCTTTTTTAGATTTACTTCATTCAGATTGCGTGACTCAAAGTATCTAATACATGTAACTCTGGTTTTCAACTTAGAAAAAAAAACGTTAGGAGAAAGAAAGCCAAGTTTTCTGCTTAGCACATTGCTTTTAAAAAGTAACATTAATTACACGCGAAAAATAGTTATATTAGAAGTCACATTAAAATGTAAAAACAAAACAACAGTTTCTTTAATTCGACATAAAAATGTACTGCCGTAGTCTTGTCCTATATATATATATATATATATATATATGCTGTATCTTGGGCTTTTCATTCTTTTGATTTTAACTGCTATTGTTCTTCCTTTGTACAAAATAATATGTACTTGTCTCCATGTCGCGTCACCACTACCTCTCTATTCCAACCCTTACTCCCTCTCTCGCGCGCGCTCTCTATGTCTTTCCTACTATCTTTTTCACTCCATGCCCATTTTATTCAAGCATTTATTCTATGCTAAAATGTCGATGAACCAGACTATAACAGTCACGCAATTTCCTAAGCAAGTGAAAAGAAATACATTACACATTGAGCAGTATATAACATATCAGAATTTGTTACTTTAAGTGAAATTAAAGGAATGTCGATGAATAAATAAGTGAAACGCTGGTAAATCAAAGTAACATTAAAAAACATTAGTCTATTTTATGTCTTTTATTTATACACTTGAAAAACGGCTCTGTACTGAAAATCGTTCATTTTTTCAGAAAGTTAGTGGAGTTTATATTTAAAGAACACTGAATGTTTTTTGAAAATATTATATATATAGAAAGAGAGAGAGACTATATGTATGTGTTTTGTTTTAGTTCTGCAGCCTGTCAACCGTGTTAAGTGGTATAATATGGTTTACAATATTGAGGTTAAGAGTGAAGTGTTAGGTAAGGAGGGTAAGTGAGTCGATATGAAGGCAGATGCACCCAATGAGATGTCTACGATAAGTGTTGCTTATGCTATGCCATCGACTTCCGCAACGCTCAATGTTAGCTGAAATTAAATTCCATTGGAAAGAATTAAGGGGTGGTCACACCGAAACCTGGAAACAATCTATGTAGTCTTAGACAGTTGGTTTGGGCCGGATAATTAACAATGTGTTGACTGCTTGATTACTCTCATCAGGATGCTAAGAACAAAGGTCTGGAGACTATTGGTGGTAGGACTCAAAATCATTGTCAGTGACTGACATCGAATCACTCTCTATAATTCGCTACATTGATTAAATTCTGATGTTCCTCTATGCTATTATTGGTTCTCACGCACATTCCTGGTGATTTCCTGGTGGTTTTGAATTTCTTTTATCGACATTGCTCTCCCTTTCATGGGATATATGAATTGTGGCTAATTTAATTAACTTGTGCAGTTTTGTGCAGAGTTCTATAGTGATGAAACTCAGCCCGCACAAGGATATGATGATGTAGTCTCTTTTTGAAATCTTTACGCAGTTATTACTATTTCTTAATACTTTGGAGAATTTATTACGCGCGAAGGAGGGAAAGCAAGCTGAAAGCTTCGCATCAATATGTTGGTAATACTTTCTATGAAATTAAGTGATTTTATATTAGTTTGGTGTACAGCGTTTAGCAGTGCATATTAATACACCTCATTGAGAAGTTAACTATTATTAATGAACTAATA